ACTTTTGTTCATAAACGCTAAGTGTTCGAACTTAAAACCTCTAAAAACAACAATTATGCCTTTATAAAAATATTCTAAATAAAATAAATGGTAATATGGTATTAATACTATCAGCTTGTGGAATTTCTTTTTGTAAAAGTTAAGATACTTGCAATAAGTGTGATAATGTGTAATTAACTATTATTTAATATATTGATGATACAAAATAAAATAAAATTATATCAAATGTTTTTTATACTTTTTAAATATTTTTAAAAAATAAAAAACCGATTAATTTTAAAATATGATATTGAATCAATTATTTTCTGTAAAAGTAATTCGTGTTACTTTATTTACCCTCAAATTAAAACTGTGTATCAAAAGAATTGTTCATAACTGATCTTTGCGTGGCATATCTCAGTTGGAGTGGTTGTCCTCCTGAAATTGTTAAATACTCATATATTTTAGATTTTTATATTTTTTATTGATATCTTTTATCTCTTCTAAAATTTTATAAGTCTATCTTACTCTAAAATATTATTGTCGCGGCCGTCTTTCGGTGGGCCCGGAATTGGGTTTCGAGTTGAAAACAAAATGTTAGAATCGCCACCGATCGAAGAATATTTAGGTAGATCGGACACCAATTTACATGACCTGCGTTTTATCAGAAATATGTCGGATTCGGGCGTCGGTTATAGTCAAGGAAGGATTAGCACCCTTGTACTGCCCTTTCGTTACCAATTAATTTGTCGGTTGTCTTTAATTACGAAAATTAAAATCTAGAAAAACCTGATTCGAATTGCTTACCTTTGATTTATCAAAGTGCCCTTAAAAAGGTCAAAAAGATGTTGGTAATGCTCAATCCCACATAGTATTGGAAACACTATTGGGAATGATATTTCAGGCTTGGCTTTCCCACTTCCTTGTTGAGTGATAGAGAACAAGGGGGACTATCGTGCGCCGCCACTGCCGCCGTCCGTCTCGGGTCGGGTCGGGTCGGGTCGTGGTCGTGGTCGTGGTCGTACGTGTCTTTGACACGTCTGCGCGGATACTATCTTTTTAGAGAAAATTCTTAAGAAACAAAATCTTTTTTTAAACTATCACAACGAATTTGGAAAATCGCAACGACAACTGTAGACTATCGCAATAACAACTGTAGACTATCGCAACGCGAAATGGAAAATCGCAACGCGATTTTCAACTATCGCAATGCGAAATGCAACGCGAATTTTCGATAGTGGAGATCGCAATGCGAATTAGAGATCGCATTGCGATTTTGTTGGTCATTTTCGCAAATCCAAAAAAAGTTGGTCAAAATCGTATATTATCTAGGATCTTTGGTCACTGAGGTTATTTTCTCTAAAAATATTAGGTAAAAATCAAAATGAAAAAAAGAAGAAAAAAATTAAAAAGAAAACAAAAACAGTACATAAAATATAGTATTGAACAAAAAAATACAAAAAGGAAAAAATAATAATAATGATAATAATAATAATAAATATATATATATATAATAGAATAGATTATTAAATAGCAATAAAGAAATAAAAACGTGAAAATAGAGAGAGAAAAAGTAAATAAATAGCAAAGGATTAAATTGAAATAAAAATAAAATGTTTGGTGAAATTTGACAGGAAATCGGGGCATAAATTGAATTAAGGGGCCAAAATGTAAGCATTCATTTCGTTGTAAGCAACGAACGAGGGACCAACAAGGGAATTATCCCTTTCTATTTAAAAACGCGCGGATCCCCTATAGGTATCTGGTCGGGTTATCGGGCAAGCGAGTCCAATATATATAAAAAATCCCAAATCACATTCATTTTCCTCTTCACTCAAAATAAACATATCCTTATTTCCACAAGAGTATGGGTATAACTTAAATCTATTAAAATGTTTTTTATAATCTTCAATATTTCAACACATATGTTAACCTAAGGGCCAATCATGGTTAAAACATATTTTTTATAAATTTAATGTGGTTATAAAATAATATATATTTAACCGACTCAATCATTTAACAATAAACTTTAAAACTTCCATATGTGTTATGCTAAAACCCGAAACCTCGAATGATAACAATCATCCTTTAACTACTGAGATCGTTTGATTCGTGTATAGCTTAAACACATACGTTATCATATATTCATTTATATTATTATTTAATATTTTAGGTGATGTTATCGATTAATAAGATATTAGTTTAGTTATAAATAAAAATTAAAAACTAAATTGTTCTAATTGATATTGTTGTATTTTTTGTCTTATCACACTTTTAGCATATTCCTCATGGGAAGAGTCTACAGCGCTTATCGCGTATCGTAACGTACCACTAAAGTGATGTACTGAAATATACCATAAGTAATTTTGTCTTTATTGTGCAAATAATAAAAAGTACAAGGATTTATTTAAAATTAATCATTAATTAATTTTTTTTAATTCTAGTTTTAATAGAATTATAATTTAATTATAATTTTTTATTAAAAATAATAATTAATTTAAGCGATTTAATTTATTTAGAATTAAGATTTGTAAATTATTTAAGTTAAGAATAGTCATGAGCAATAGTCACTGTCAGAGATCTTAACTCGAAGTAAAATTCGTCGGAAAACTCGTCGGAAAATATTATATTATAGATCCAACGCTGCCGTTTGCCATCGCCCAACAATCACCCAATAATTATCCGGCAATCGCTCATTCAATCGCCAGAAGGCACCGTCGAAGAGCTCTGCACTTGCTTCTCAAATGGATTGTTCAGTTGCACAGCTAATTTGTTTGCTAATATACTTAAACGTCATTAAATAATAGAATCCATAAGGACAAGATGGGAAACTTTTATGATATATGATATCATATGTTGGTGTATTGATCTTTTAGTGAAAGATCATGATATTAAGAGGGTTTGGGTAGTTACTTCTTTGGATTATTTAATGACGGTGCCTCTCCCTGTATAGATAATACCGTTGATGGGCCAGCCGATCATCTTATTGCGGCCAATGACTGCCCTACAAGTAGGATTGGGTTTGAGGAAGTCAAAATGGCTCTTAGAAAGATGGGGAGGGACAAAGCTGTCGGTCCAGATCAAATTCCTATCACTGTGTGGTTGGCCCTAGGAGAAGAGGGAGTTAAGTGGTTAACCAACATCTTTAATATTATTTTAGAGACTGCCAATATGCCAGAGGAATGGAGAGAGTCTACGGTGATACCAATCTATAAGAATAAAGGAGATCCCCAACGTTGTGGCAACTACAGAGGTATTAAACTACTCAGCCATACCATGAAGCTATGGGAAAGGGTGATAGAGGCTAGGTTGAGACAGGTTACTAGGGTTTCGGAAAACCAATTTGGCTTTATGCCAGTCAGGTCTACTACGGAGACGATTCATCTACTGCGACGGCTTATGGAGAAATATAAGGAAAAAATAGAGATCTTCACATGGCGTTCATTGACCTTGAAAAGACGTATGATAGCGTTCCCCGAGATACGATCTGGAAGACATTGGAAACGAGACGAATTCCAACTGCTTATATCCGGGCGATTCGTGATATGTACTGTAGATCTACTACATACGTCAGGACTACAATTGGCGACACCGAGGCATTCCCGGTGAAAATCAGACTCCACCAGGGGTCGACTCTTAGCCCTTACATCTTCGCCTTGATTATGGACGACATCTATTGTGCGACACCAGACGGTGTTCCATGGTGTATGCTTTTCGCTGACGACATTGTCCTAGTTGCTGAAACAAAAACAGAGCTGAATAGTAGACTGGCTACCTAGAGGACTGCTTTGGAAGAAAAAGGTCTAAAGGTCAATATTGAAAAGGCAGAGTATTTATGTTCAAACTTCAGTGGGAACCAAAACGATGAAGATGTAGAAGTATGTATAGAATGACACGTTCTCCCCTCAAAGGATTTTTCAAGTACCTAGGGTTTATGATACATAAAGATGGGGGTGTAAAAGATGAAGTTACACACCGTATAAAGGTGGGATGACTAAAGTGGAGGGCTGCTACTGGAGTTTTGTGTGACAAGAAGGTGCCTCTAAAACTTAAGGGAAAATTTTATAGAATGGCAATAAGACCAGTGTTGTTGTATGGAATAGAATGTTGGGCAATCAAGAAGGATCACGTAAGGAGGATGGAGGCAACAGAAATGAGAATGCTCTGATGGGCATGTGGTAGGACTGTGGGACATGACACCAAACTCTGCTATTAGGATGTCCTTGGGGGTGGTGTCTGTGTCCGAAAAATTGAGGGAGGGAAGACTACGGTGGTTTGGGCATGTCCTTAGGAGACAACCTTCGGAAGCGGTTAGGATGGTAGAGTCGATTACAGTCGACGATCCCAGAAAGAGAGGACGACCAAGGCGGAAGTGGGAAGACTGCTTGAGATCTGATTTGAAGGATTTAGCCCTTACCGAGGACATGACCTCTGATAGGAAAGTATGGAGACTTAAGACCAAGGTAGCCGAGTAGTGTGGGTCACATCCATAGGGTGTATCATCTCCGTCTTCTTTTAATGCCTTTGTAGTAATTCCATGACTTCTACTTCTTATACGTTTATGTCATTGGAATTTATGAAGGCTTAGAACTAGGATAGCGGAGTAATATGCCTTAGTCTAGGTTTTAACCCATTTTGACTTTATTCCTTCTCGTAGCTGGCTATCGTTGACTTTTGTGTATCCTTCTCTTCTTATTTCCTCTTTTTAAATTTAGTCGGGTCTTACGTTTCTGTCTATATGCAGAGATTTTTTACGCAGGGATTTATTTGCAGGGATTACTTCCAATTACAGACGTGCATATGAAGACTGTTCAACTGTGTATTTATTTATTCATTTATTTATTTATACATGCATAGCATTTTATCCTTATTTTTAATTTTCTGACTGCCGGAGGTCTTCCACGGAAGCTGCTCTCAACCTGGCGTTGGGGGCATGCCTACTACTCTACCTCCCCTTACCCCATTACATATGGGAATAGAGTTTTGTTGTTGTTGTTGTTTATATTGCTGAGTTATCTTCAATCGGCTCAAGTGTGTGTACTTCCTAGGCCTAATAATCAGCTAAAAAGTATTCCTTTTTGTGTGTATGTGCGAAAATTCAGCTGGCTTCCACCGCTACATTCTTCAAAATTTCAACGGCAAAACTCTGGATGGCTTGACTGTACAAGACTTTGATCCTCCTTCCGAGGTAAATTACTCAAGAAATAATTAGGAATGTGACACCAATGAGTTTCTTCTATCGCTGTTCCTGAAAAGCAATGGGTTTTATCACAGGTCCGTGCCTTGATCGAGGGCCAATTTCTCTCAACGCGTGCTCATGCAGAAAGATTCGGAATGCCTTCTCCAAAACGAATCATTGCTACCGGTGGAGCAGCAGCAAATAAAAGCATTCTCAGCTCAATTGCATCAATTTTTGGCTCTGATATATACTGTTCAATGAAAATATGTGTGTCATTGCTAATTAAATAGGTGGTTGGACTGCATTACCATCCAAAATTAAAATTCACTCGCCTTCCTGAAAATCAATGAAAATAGAGAAGGGGGATGCCGTCTACGTTTCTGCATACCATTTTTTGGCGATCGATTGGGCGATCGCCGGATAATTGTTTGGTGATTGTTGGGTGACGATGAACGAGCGACGGTAAATGGCAGCGTTGGATTTATAATATAATATTTTCCGACGAATATTTTAGCGAATTAAGATCTCCGACGATAACTATCGCTCATGACCATTTTTAACTTAAATAATTTTTAAATCCTAATTTTAAATAAATTAAATTTCTTAAATTAATTATTATTTTTAATAAAAAATTATAATTCTTTTAAAAGTAGAATTATGTTTTCATTAATAATTAATTTAAATAAATCCTTATACCTTTTAATATTTGCATAATAAGGAAAAATTTGCTTGTGATACGTTTCAGTGCATCGTTTTATTGGTACGTTGCGGTACGCGACAAAAACTGTAGAATTTTCCATTCTTTATATAAAAACCAAAAAAAATTATTAATAATCAAACACAAAACTAACCGATTGTATGAAGATTTTTTTAACATTTTACCTATACTAATTTATAATTTACATAAAACATGAAATTATTTTCGATATATATCGTAAATGTAATAAAATTTAAATATATAATAAAATTTTAAAAAAAATCAAATCTGTTCACTTATGTAATCTCTTTGTTTTCCCAATAGCGACGCCTCCCACAGAAGGGTGGAAAAGATAAAATAAAAGGTGAATGTTTATGAATAGAGAGGTCAAAAGTTTGCCTGTGCAATGAAGTTTTCAATTCCAACCACAAGGAGAGTGTTCAAAGATATAAATAAATAAATATATATATATACATATATATATAAAGAAAAAGCAAATAGCTTTTGCTTTTAAAGGGACGCCCACTTTCTGCACTTTTAATAAACATTTTCTACATTGTTTTTTGGTTATTAAATCGATTTCAGCTTTATTTTCATCTTTTCTTAATTGTTTCTTTGGGTAAATACCTTTATTTTTCTTCTTTCCTTCCTGCTTTTAAGGGGGAAATAGATTCCATAATGTTTACATCTCAATTATTGAGATAACACACTCTTTTCTACAAAAGATATGATTCAGATAATATTAAAATTAAAGTACAGTACTGCATGATTTACCCACATTCTTTTACATACCAAATCTCCGATAAACAAAGACTTCCTCATGTATTTTGTTACTTTTTTCTTTATTATAATGATTTCAGGCTTTTTTATTAGTTTAAAGTAATTACAAAGAAGATCTATTCAAAATTTGTTTTGTCGATTGATGAAAGTTACTCGAATCTAAGATCTAAAAAGAGAACAACAATTCAGTTTATCACTAAAATCGCTTAATGAGTTCATACTTTAAATTAATATATATATATATATATATATATATATATATATATATATATATATATATATATATATATATATATATATATATATATATGGTAAGAAATGAAAAATAAATCTAGCAAATATTTTCTTATAAAAATAGATACATGAGTTATTATTATATTAAATTTTGAGTTCATCTTAATCAAGATTTAAGACTACGCAATAGAAAAAATCATATTAAATAATAATTTTCGTATTAAAATGATCATAATTTGACCTTTGAGATCATATTAATGTGTTTTAAGATGTATTTAAAAACTAAAATAAAACTAATTAATTTATAATAATACATCTCAATCCAAAAAGTGTCTAAATTCCATCTAAAAATGTATTACTCCTGTTCCAGAACTTACAAAAGTTATTTCTTTAAAATACTGAAATTAATTGATTTTCCCAGCTAACAATGAACGGGTTCAGCATTTGGTTCAATAGTTGTATAATTTGTGTTTTAGTTCAAAGAGCAGACTGCCTTCTTTCAGTAACGTTGAAAAGGAAACATGTAATAACATAGCATAACAACAAAACGTTTCCTAATAATTTTTTTACTGTTAATGAATAGAGTCCAACATTAAAATGGAGAAGAACGAAGAAAGCTAAAAAGAAGAAGCAACAGAAAAGGCATTAATATGAAGCAAGCTCACAGAATATTGCCACCTCATTAAGCAAAGGAAAACTAGTTGTTTGCAAGAAAAAGGTAAAAAGTTGAAAGAAGAAAGAGAAAGGAGAAGAAGAATTAAGAAGAGAAAGGCAGTCTTAAATGGAGGCCTCTACTTTTAAAAAGGATGACTGTTATGAGCAAATAAATTGGGGGGAAAAAAGGAGGAGAAATGGATTATAATATCACCATGAAGCTGGATTAGTTAAAAAGGAGAAAGAGAGTTATGGAATCTAAATATGCACTAATTCCTAAAACCCTAATCTTTTCAAAAAGCTGAAAACGACAAATTCCCCTCTTATGCTTAACGATTTTCCTTTAAAAAAATTAAAGTTGTGAAGAGATAATAATCTTTTTGTGATTCTAAAGTAGAAACAACTTTAAGGTTTAAAGAAAGTGATGCTTATCTATATATACCGTTTCAAATTATTGTTAGTCTTTCTCTATGTTGGTGCAAAAGCTAGTAATATCTCTTCTCTCTTTACCGGTGGTTGAATTAGTGTTCATTGGATCAAGTACTGATATGAGCAATTTTGATCATAGTATTTTTTAGGAGATTTTATTGGTTTATTTTATTTAAACTGGAGCTGTAAGTTTTTAGAAGACTATTTCATATTGAATTATATCCTAAGTGTGCTATTAAGAGTTTTGAATGATGTGTTTGCATTAAGTATTAATTAATCGATGGAAATTATTAAGATTACTCAAGGGAAATGCTATTGCTAGGATAATATTATAGATGAGCGTGATTACAATTAGAATGTGTAGCTCAGTTGAGGATCTATGTCTTTTGCACCGATAATATTATAGTAATTTTTTCTCTAGCAACATTCGGCAGAGGTAAGATCATTGATCGATATGAAAATGTGTAAACAAATTTTCCTTATATTTTTTTATTACGTTTTCTTTTTATTTTTTTAATGGTTCACCCCAATTACAATTGACTTAAGCACTAACCTACACAACTACACTAACACGTCACTTTATAGATTTTAATTAAGAAAATACATTGATATTAATGTATTTACTATTTAATACCAAGATTTTTTTGTAACATCTTAATTCAATCCAACTCGAAGATCAACCTATTAGAATATTATAGAGGACCACCAAAATGGCTAAACTAAAATTTTTCTTTAAAAGTACATGGAAAACATCATTGAAATACCATAAGATAAAAAAACATAAGCAATCGAGTTTACAAAACAGGGAGCTCCCAAATGCATCCCAAAAATATACATTTCAAGTATTTAAAAATGGAGTCACAACTTGAATACATGAAGATATATGAATAGTACATGCCCTCTAAAAAAACTCAAGACGTACTCTACTGCACTGAACGATCTGGAATGTCATTTCTGCAATAAGCTCCTCGACGCTCATTCTAAAAGCTTGCATACGAAAACAAATTCCAAACGCTGAGCTCACAAGCTCAGTGCCACACTAATAACTAAATTATACTACATGCGTCCACTACATGGCCATGCTAGCAAGAAAAGACATATGCATACAAGGGTCATCTCGGGACACACACACCCCTCTAGCCTACATAAGGTGAGATCCGAAATTTTTGCATCGGAAATGTACACTTGGTTCACCTACTTCTCGCGAGTACAAGGGGCATCTACGCCCGACCAACGAGTGAAGTGCCTTGGCACTAACTGAGATATATCCGAATATTCTAACAAATGAGACGAGTCACAATTGCTAAAGTAACTTGAGTGTCTGTGTTGTTTCCTGAGCGTCATATAATGGCTAGTTTTATGTCATCTTAATTCAATTTCAATCTTAGTTGTAGTTGTTGATAGACCCCTTCCTAAACCCTTTAATCAAATTATTTTTTACACAATTCAAGAAGATGATACCAATAGTAATCCTTTTAGTATTGGTACTCACCCTTGGTATCGATACCAAAATTGGCTACTCGACTATAAGAAAGTCTAACAGTATTGATACCATTATTGAGAGTATCGACACTTCTGTACTAGGGTATCAATATCATCCTGAGTATCGATGATATTTTGAGAAATTAAACTCAGTATTGATACCTTTACTTAGGGCATCGATACCATTTCTTCATATGGTATTGATACTCCCATGAGTATCAATACCAAACCGATTATTAAAAATTGAAATCTGAAGATGATACTGATACCCCACCCTTGGGTATCGATATCTTTATAAACAAGTTATCGATACCACCAGCCAAAAAACCCTTGTTTTAGGCTATCTGAAAAAAAATATTAATATTGTTCATCCAGTAATGATAGCCAAACCCATAAATGCTTTGTTTGAGTACCAAAATGACATCTCATCTTCACCCACAAGTCCCTCTTAGGCCTTAAACGTTATTTAAGGTTTATGTAAGTTGATAAGGTCATAATAGATCATTTTACACTATATATATAACACCAAATGTCATAATCTATCATGGATGCACTTATATGCTCTATGAACTCTTACAAGCTACCAATTACATCTAATGACTCATAAATGGTATAAAAGAATTAAAAAATATGTTACATTGATCCTAGATTGCTAAAAAATGTCCTCAAATCAACCAAATATTGTAATCCCCTAGACCTAACCTAGGAGTTACAACAGAATCAAGGTAACCACGTAGATCGCAAAAATGGTCCACGAACAAAATTTGTTTAATAAATCATTTTTAAAAAAAAATACCAAATACAATATTAGAAATAAACACATGTCACATTTGAACATTTTGAAAATAAATATTAAATCCCATATAGTATATAATTGAGACTACACCTCCGATAGACAAACTGGTCATATAATTGGATAACATGAAAAAGAATGACAGAAATAGAGTAAGCTACAAAGCTTAGTGTGTCATCTAAAGTAAAACATGTATCAGTTGCATACCATAAATAAATAAA